TCGTTTCACAACCTACCTAATTTTAATACTACCAAAGTATTTAGTGGATTACACAATAATCTATTATTTTCTATAAACCATTCTCCAAAAAACCATAATCTCAACATTGAATCTTCAAACTTATACATACGCAAAAACTTTACAAAAAACCTTAGATTTCATAATGTACCTTGTACACTCATACTCAATTAATCTTTAGAGTTGGCCACCATAAAAATGGAATTTCTTGATTCAAGGTTGAAGGTAATTCAATATCTTGAATAAACTCACGTGTCGCCTAAATAGATCTAATTCAATCAACATACTATGAAGTTTTTCTATTGGTTTCATTTGATAGATAAGGCGTGAAAGAAAGAACACTCACAGCTTTATAGATTTGTGAAAAGTATGACTTGAGATTATTTTTAGAACACACAATTGTGCATCTTTTACATCTTAGTGACGTGTGTTCATTATATTAGAAAAATGACAAGAATGACTTATATATGTGTTAGAGGTTAGGCACAAAATAGATGAGAATATGAACAAATGAACTTATAAAGATCGGAGCTCACAAAGGTGACAAGTGAACTGGATTTGGTGGTGGTCTTTGGGAATTTTTTGATGTCTCTAATCTTCAGCCCGATGTTGAGGATTGGTATACCTAAAAACATTTTGAAGCCTAAGCTAAAGGCTATCGATAGTCATAGGTATTTTTAGAGTTTGATGCGAGTACATAATATGACTTCTCAATTGTCTTCTTATAGCAAGACTCTAGGGTTTCAGCGACCTAGAATCTTTGATGCATAACAACTATCTAACAAGGGAAAAGTTGTTTGTAGATTTTTCATTCTATGATGTGACAGTATCGCTCCAATCATTTTCCTTGATCAAGTGTCCTTCTAAGGCGAGTCCATCTTTAGTCTCACGTCTTCGAACGATATCATAGTTATTACATCATTATTTATTGATTTTTTAATCAGACGGTCTGTGCTCTTTCATAGCTTTGAAGTTTCTAGATAACCTCTTTTTTTCTTGGTTGGATCGTGGCTTATTTGAACCCTATATCCATTTTGAAACATATTCTCTACTTATGCACAATTTGAATCTTGAAAGACTTCATATTTTTGCTTCAAAAAATACATCCAAACATTGTCACAAAATACCTAAAACCACCCATAAAAGTCTCTCTAGCATGCCTTCACACATAAGAATATATACATATTCTAGAATTCCCTTTGCTTTTTGTTTCCAAATCTTAAACCGAACACAACATTATTTCCCAAATAACAAATATTTACACAAATTCATATTACAACCGAAAACAATATTTAATAAACTCATTAAAATATGCACGTTAACTTTGTTGAAATAATATAATAAGTGTGAGTAAGTGGGAGAAATAGTCTCACATTGGATAGAAATGTGGAGACTTAAACATATATAAGTGGGAGAATCCACTCACCTATCACCTTAAAGTTTTAGGTGAATAAGTGGTGTGTCTCTCACAAAGGTGCTTATTCCTACACTATGCATCGATGCTCCTAGTATCTTCCCCCAACATGGTATCATGAAATGGTACGGTACAAGTGGGGAAGCATTGTGGACTCACACTTGAGGGGGAGTGTTAGAATAATATAGATGGATAAGTGGTGTGTCTCTCACAAAAGTGTTTATTCCTACACTATGCACCGATGCTCATAGTATCTCCTCCCAACACACTTATGTTACATAAAAATAGTAGGGACAAATTATACATAATTGTAATTTTAGTATAATGAGTTAATGATGAATAAAAATTTAAAGGTTTAAATAATTAATTAGTCTCTATAAGTTGGTATGTTTTTATTTTTCATCTTTGTATTTTTTTAATAAAGTTCTTAAATATGTTGAAATTGTTTTTAATCTTTAAAGTTAAAATATGTAGGAAAACGTGCAGATTTTCTTGTGAATGTTCTTATAAATTTTTGTTCGAATTTAAATTTTTAAAGAACTAAATCAAAAAGATTTTAATATTCAAAAATTATTTAAAAAAAAAGATAAAAAAACGAAAATCAAATACATGCCAACTTACATGGACTAATTGATTATTTAAGACAAATTTAAATTTTTGCAATTATGCATGCATGAAATAATACTGAAACCTTTGAAATTAAATTTTCTGTGTTGTTTAATATGTCATGGTAGTAGCATTTAGAGGACAAACCAATATCTCTATTTCCCCCCTCACATACATAAGCTTTTGAATCAATTATTACATTGTTTAATTTTAAAAAGGCATTTATGATTGCCAAATGCAGTGTATTGGGTAGATATATTTCATGAATCATAACATTCTTCCAAGGAGTATCTGGTTGTTGGATTTCAACAACTTTCAACATGAAGAGTGAAAAAGTTACAAAGAAAATCAAAGTTTGAATTTTTAACCATACAATATGCTACATGACATTCCCAAGCCTACATTACCTTGACATGAATCTTTGTTCCTACTTTATCATTTGAACGGAATCTTTGTTCCAACATAGATTCCCACAAATTTAATGTCGTCCCATTCAGCATGGTTCATATTGTTGACAATGTTTCCCTAAGTATAGTAAATTACTAACCATCCTTTCACTACTGGGTCCATTTTTTCTGCTTTGTTCAGTTAGCAAACAACACTATACTTGATCTATATGTTTTTATAACCAAAAAGATTCTTTCTTTCAATCTTGCACTAAACACAAACACTTTGCCAACCTCAGACTGTACGTGTCTGTGACAGTTATTTGCATGTATGCATGTGCGCAAATGCTAAAGTAGATGTATCTTCTGTCCCCACAACTTCACATGGCTCCCATCACAGAATCTTTATATATATTCTCTTCTTTCTTCATATATACCCAAATTTCATAGCTATAATAAAAGGGTACTATTAGCTAAGAATATTGTGCATGGTATCTTGTTATTATTTGCTATTATTAGTTAAGAATATTGTTAACTACCATACGCTCTAATCAACTGAGCTATTCATTATTTACTACTTTTAAAGTAATGGAAGCTTCAACTCAATTTGCTATCACTCATCTCTTTTTGTTTCTTTTTTATTTAATAAGAGGTTTAGATTCAGCCACATTTACGATTGTAAACAAGTGTAGCTACCCCGTTTGGCCCGGGATTTTGTCCGGTGCTGGGACGGCACAGTTAACAACTACTGGTTTCGTCCTAGACTCGGGTGAAACCAGTGTTATAGCTGTGCCGACCGCTTGGTCAGGCCGAATATGGGGACGAACATTATGCTCAACAGACTCCACTGAAAAATTCTCATGTGCTACCGGAGACTGCGGGTCCTCTAACATGGAATGCAGAGGCAGTGGAGCCATCCCACCGGCGACACTTGCAGAGTTCACGTTAAACGGTGCCGGAGGGATGGATTTCTACGACGTGAGTCTTGTAGACGGTTACAACCTTCCGATGACTATCGAACCGCGTGGTGGTTTCGGTAACTGCACGACGACGGGTTGTACGGTGGACTTGAACGAAGCATGTCCGACGGAGTTGAAAGTGAGAATTTCAGTTGAAGGAGAAAAGAGCGTGGCGTGTAAAAGCGCGTGTGAGGCTTTTGGGGATCCGTTGTATTGTTGCAGTGGCGCTTATGCAACACCGCAGACATGTAGACCAAGTTCATACGCTCAGTATTTCAAGAACGCGTGCCCACGCGCTTATAGCTATGCTTATGATGATGGAACTAGCACATTCACTTGTTCTTCTGCGGATTATGTCATTACTTTCTGTTCTACACCTTCCAAAAGGTAATATAGTTTTAATTTTTTTATCTAACACTAGTAACTGGGTTCGAATCACCCTCCATGTATTTGTTATTTTTTCAATTATGTTTTTTAATTATTTTATTTTACACTATTTTCTAACACATTTATAAAGTTAATTTAATAAAAGTATAATATTTTATAACAACATTATTACATCTCTAAAAATGTTAAACTACATTCATTTTAAAATAAAGAAACTAATTTTAACAATTTTCATTTATAGTAAAATAAATAAATAGAAATATATTTGAGTGCAGTAAGTTGATAAAGTCAGGAGGAAGTGGAAAATTGCCATTTGGAGTGGACATATGGGCAGGAAAGGGCAATGGACTGGGTGATGAATCAACAACCAAGGTGATGATAACATCAGTAATTGGCGCAGTTTTAGCGATAATTTTGTGACCAACGTCCAACGACAAAGTGTTTCGTATATATTTAGGAATTTGATTCATAAATAATGTAAAATTATTGTTGTTATTTTTTTTGTAATCCCCTGAGCTGCTGTTGTTTATTGTTCTCATTGGAATTAGATTTAGCTTATATTTTTCTTTGTAAAAAATTATATTGGTAAGACTGTATAATATGAATTTTTAGAAATAATAAGAATAAGAATGAATGATAATCATTTACCAAAAAGAAAAGAAGAAGAAAAAATTAAACAAAGCTAATATTGATCCATGATACATGTGGAAATGTCCAATAAGTTTGGGCTGGGCTCGTTCTTCTAAAGCTAACTTGTTTTGTTCAACAATTTGCATGCCACCTCCACATTTTAATTGAACCGATTATTGTACCATTTTATTCTTTAATTAAAAAATTAATAATCTTTTACATATTTAATTTAAATCTACGCATAAAATTCTACGCGGCAAGTGACACAGTTCGAAGCATACACATGAGTTTTTTAAAATTATTTTTTAATTTTTATTTATTTATACAGTATACACATATTGCTTAATTATCTTCGACTGAGCATGCAGTAAAATCTTTACGATATAGGAGTAATAACTAAATTTGCGAAGAAAAGGGTGAATCATGTGAAAGGTACTTTAAAGAAGAACGACACTATCTTCATTTTTTTCTTCTTCTTTTCTTTTATGAGGTAATAATATATGAAGAAACTAATTGAAGCTACTTTTTCCATATCCTCTATTTTTGCTTTTTCACCTTTTCATTTTCTTTGACTCTACTTTTCACCTTGTCTCTTGTTCCTTTATTTATTACTAGCATTTTTTAAAATAAAATTAGTACTATTTTGTAATAAAAATCACGATCATATTGTACTTCTTGTCATCATCCCCATCTTCATAAACATCATCATAGTTTCCTTTTCCAAGAATAAACTTAAAAATCAATTAAACCAATGACATTAGCTAGGTTAATTAACTATCCACCAAAAAAAAAAAGACATTAGTTTAACCATATTAAATATTTTATAAAAGCTATAGTTCTACTTTTTCTACCAAATTAAACAAGCTGATCTGCTGCTGATGCAAAACTTTATTAAAGAAACAAGAGTGCATGGAAAACCAGAAGAAAAGGGATATATATAGAAAAGATGACGATAAAATAAATATGAAAAAGAAGGAAAGAAAATCTTATCCACATCACTACTTTACACGACACGACATGTAAGAGAATCAATGAAGTGGACCAAGATGTCAATACTGTCACGAGAACCTACAAAAAAGCAAATGAGAGTCTTCTTATATTAAATTCCTTGATAAGCTTTAAGAGGTTATCATGTTGATTCCACTATTGTTACTTTTGTTTTCTTGAAAATTTAATCTTTATGTAAAATGTAAACTTTTATACATATGCATTCAAGTATATTCTATCAGGCATATTAATGCAGCATATAGTCAATATCGGAGCCAGACTAAATTTTTTGAAATCATCGTTAAGAGAAATTAAAAATTAAAAATAATTTTAAAATCTGGAACATAGTGTTAAACAACGGTTGATTCAGATGCTGCGTGACTACGTTGAGATCTTTGCCTGGTCTTATGAAGATATGCTTGAGTTGGATACCGATATTGTGGTTCACCGCCTACCTACCAAGGAAGACAGTCCTCCAGTAAAACAGAAAGTTCGCCGAATGCGCCCAGATATGTCTGAGAAAATCAAGGCTGAAGTGATGAAGTAGTTTGACGCCGGTTTTCTAGCAGTTACTTCTTACCCGCAGTGGGTGGCCAACGTGGTTCCAGTGCCAAAGAAGGATGGTAAGGTTCGAATGTGTGTTGACTATAGGGATTTGAACAGAGCAAGCCCCAAGGATGATTTCCCTTTACCTCATATCGACGTTCTGGTTGACAACACCGCACAGCATAAGGTCTTCTCCTTTATGGATGATTTCTCCGGTTATAATTAGATTAAGATGGCTCCCGAAGACATGGAGAAGACAACCTTTGTTACTCAATGGGATACTTTTTTCTACAAGGTCATGCCTTTCAGATTGAAGAATGCCGGGGCGACGTATCAGCGCGCCATGGTCGCTTTGTTCCATGACATGATCCATCATGAGATTGAGGTATACGTCGACGACATGATTGCAAGGTCCCAGACTGAAGAAGAACATCTTGACCACCTTCAGAAGTTGTTTGACAGGTTGAAGTTGTACAAGCTGAGGTTAAACCCGAACAAGTGCACCTTCGGGGTGAGATCTGGTAAGCTGCTGGGTTTCGTTGTAAGCGATAAAGGTATTCAAGTGGATCCTACAAAGGTGAAGGCTATACAGGAGATGCCAGCTCCCCGAATAGAAAAATAAGTCAGAGGCTTTCTGGGACGTTTGAACTATATTGCCCGATTCATCTCGCACCTGACTGCTACTTGTGAGCCAATCTTCAAGTTACTGAAGAAAGATCAAGTGGTAAGATGGAATGATGAATGCGAGGCCGCTTTCGAAAGGATCAAAGAATATCTCCAAGAGCCACCTATTCTGATGCCTCCAGTTAAAGGGAGACCTTTGATCTTATACTTGACAGTACTCGATAACTCAATGGGGTGCGTGCTGGGGTAGCATGACTAGTCTGGCCGAAAAGAGCATGCTATTTATTACCTTAGGAAAAAGTTTACCGACTGCGAGACCCGATACTCGTTGCTTGAGAAAACTTGTTGCGCTTTGGAATGGGCTGCTCACCAGCTGAGACAGTATATGCTGACTCACACTACTCTATTGATATCAAAGATGGGTCCAATCAAGTATATCTTCGAGAAGCCTGCCTTGTCCGGAAGAATAGCAAGATGGCAGATGATCTTGACTGAGTATGACATCTAATACACAACCCAAAAGGAAATTAAGGGAAGTGTGTTGGCAGACCATTTGGCACATCAGACAGTGGATGATTACCAGTCTATGAACTTCGAATTCCCGGATGAGAGTATCATGTTGGTAACTGATTGTGAGACACCTGGACCGAATGAAGGACCCGAGGAAGGATCTCGATGGTCTATGTACTTTGATGGAGCTTCAAACGCTTTGGGTAATGGCATCGGCGCCGTGATCATATCTCCTGAAGGCTCTCATACTCCGTTTACCGCCCGACTATGTTTCAACTGCACCAACAATATGGCGGAGTATGAAGCGTGCATCATGGGTCTTCGAGCAGCAATTGACCTAAAGATTAAGTTTCTAAGTGTTTTCAGAGATTCCGCTCTCGTGATCAGTCAGATCAAAGGCGAGTGGGATACGAAACACCCAAATCTTATTCCTTACAAGGAGTATGTATTGACGTTGCTTCTGTATTTCGAGGATATAACCTTTGAACATTTCCCGAGAGAAGAGAATCAATTAGCGGATGCACTGGATACGATGTCTTCTATGTTTAAGGTCAATTGGGACAACGAAGCTCCCCGGATTACCATTGAAAGGTTGGACAAACCTGCACATTATTGTGACATTGAGACTGAAGAGGCAGCAGATAAACCCTGGTTTCATGAGGTGAAGAGGTATCTCGAAGCTCAGGAATACCCCGAGGGTGCATCTGTTAATAATAAGAAGTTTTTGAGAAGGTTCACGGTAAAATTCTTCATCAGTAATGACATCCTTTATAAGCGTAACCATGATTCAACCTTACTGCGATGTGTGGATAAGAACGAAGCAGAAAGGATCATGACAGAGTTACATGAAGGTACTTTCAGAACTCATTCCAGTGGACACACCATGGCAAAGAAAATCCTACAGGCAAGATATTATTGGTCCACAATGGAAGCCGACTGTTATCAGCATTCTCGGACCTGTCACAAGTGCCAAGTCTATGCTGATAAAGTGCACATACCTCCAGTACCTCTGAATGTCTTGACGGCACCTTGGCCTTTTGTAATGTGGGGCATTGACATGATCGGCGAGATCAGACCTACAACGTCCAACGGGCATTGCTTCATCCTGGTAGCTATTGATTACTTTACGAAGTGGGTTGAAGCAGCTTCCTTTGCTACCATAACCAAGAATGTCGTGGCACGGTTCATTCGACACAATCTGATCTATCGATATGGTGTATCAGAGAGGATCATTACGGACAATGGTACAAATATCAATAAGATGATCACTGAGCTCTGCAAGCAGTTCAAGATATAGCATCACAACTCTTCTCCCTACCGGCCGAAGATGAATGGGGCTGTGGAAGCGGCTAATAAAAACATCAAGAAGATTGTGCAGAAGATGACAGTGACATACAAAGATTGGCACGAGATGCTACCGTTTTCTCTTCATGGGTACCGTACTTCAGCACGGACGTCAACAGGGGAAACACCCTATTCCTTGGTCTATGGCATGGAGGCGGTCTTGCCCATTGAAGTTCAGATACCCTCTCTTCAGATTATGAAGGATGCAGGTTTGAGCGAAGATGACTGGATCCAGACCCGGCTTGATCATCTGAACTTAATCGACGAAAAGAGACTTACTGCTATTTGTCATGGTCAAACGTATCAGAAGCGGATGATCAAGGCATTTAACAAGAAAGTTAGACGACAATAGTATCAAGTTTGGGATCTAGTGATCAAGCGCATCATCTTACCTCAAAGTGATCCCAGGGGAAAATGGACCCCTACTTACGAAGGGCCATTTTTGGTTAAGAACATTTTTTCAAGAGGAGCTATGATTCTAACCACCATGGATGGTGACGACCTTCCTCACCCCGTCAATGCAGACATAATGAAAAAATACTACGCATAATCAAAGACCCTCTAGGTTGACTGGCCTAGGCAAAAATAGGGGCTTCCCGGCGAACCAAAAGGGTTCAGGCAAAAATAAGGGATGAAAATAAAAAAAAATCTGTACACCCGACAAGTCGAAAACCTGAAAAGGCGGCTTGGGCAAAAAAGGGTATCCCGGTGGACTGAAAACCCGAAAGGGTGGTCCAGGAAAAAATTAGGGATCAAAGCATAACACTATGTCTCATTGG